GTAATGAAATCTAAAACATTTTGGAGAGTAGGTAAGTATTGATAAGTTGAAGTTGGGGGAGGGGGGGTGAAATTTGGTTTTTTATTAAACCTACATTCTTCACAAAGTTCTATATCATCAAAACTATTTATAGTAGTTGTTTTTCCACTTCCGCAATCACATTCTTTTATTATATTAGAAAGTTCATGACTCTTTCCTCCTCCATCATTAAAAAGTCAACCTCCTGAATTATGGATGCCTTTTAAACAAAGTTCTTTTATTCGTTCTTTTTTTTTCACTTCTCAATCCTTTGAACTATTAATAAATTTCTGACAAATGTTGCAAACTTGTCTATTATTATCCCTTTGATTGTCATTTTCATGCTCTTGCTCCTTGTGAACTAATGAATTATTATTTCATTCATGTTTATTATCTAATTCTTCATGATCTCCTCATCTGTCAGTAAATCAAATTTTAAATCCACAACCCTTTGGACAACTCCTTTTTCTCATTTCCTCTGTCTCTAACTTACCAGTAAGGATTTGAATTTCTTCGACTAAACATTGTTTATCTTTATCATAAAAGGCAACACTACAATTATCATTAAAATGTCGGCAATATTTAGCCCACTCCTTGATTTTTCGTTTGTTCTTTTCCCATGATTTGGGAGATAATTTAGTAAAAGAGTTTTTGCAATTAGAACATAACAGAATTATTCCGGTATTATTAGTTTTGTAGTTATTTAGTTCTTGATACTTTTGATAATTTTGCTCTCTCTCTCTCTCTCTCTCTCTCTCTCTCTCTCTCTCTTATATCATCATTACCATTAGTTTTATATTTATTTCTTAATTGTTCAAAGATTTGTTTTTCTTGGTCAGATAAAGTTTGACCTTGGTGGTAAAATCTAGTTTGATCAATTTGACTAATATCTTTGTCATTTCCCAAATACTCTTTTAAGTTTTTAAAGGAGTTAAAATAAGCCAGTAAACTTTTTATTGCCATACTTTCTTCATCAGTCAAATTATAGTCATTAAACTCTTTTATTCAAGCACAATTCTGTCTATGATTTATACCATAATTACAACAACCTCCAGCAATTGAACCATCTTTTATTTCCGTATGTATTTCGCCACAACCGTGGCATCAGCATATGTGTTTCATATTATTTTTTTGAAATATTTAATTTAGACCCCCCACTAAAAGAGTATTCGCTACTGTTTTTTTTTTTTTTTT